CTTCAGAAAATATCAAGGCCAATATATTTTTCTGCTTATTTTCTTGTTTCTCTGTATTGACTTTCTTCATTTTTATGCCTTGACTTGCTATCTTATTTTCTAAGCTGCTCTGAACAAATTCTCCTTTACCTCTTTTGTGAAATTGTCACATTAATTTGAAAGGCCACACATTCGAATAAAAATGAGACAAACTTCTTTTAGAGATTCCACCAAGAAATATCTCAGAAGAACTACACTTTTCTCAAAACTAGATAATCACAGTATTATTTTTTAGCTTTATAATTTCCCTACTGATGTCTTTCCCCAGCAAATTCCCTACTTCATGTCCAAGTTTCTGTTGGAGTCTACCATTGTGCACTTCATCCTCCATATTTTTCAATCTCTACTTTCTTCATTGCCAGTAGCAATATTTGAGAAGAGGGACCTGTCTGTTACCCAATGCACACAATCACTTGAATGTGAGATTCGTGATGTTTATACTGAAGTCTGGGAGAAATCATAGACTTCTGCGACTTTTATACAAGATACTGGGTGGATGGGATTCTGTAACTAAGTGGTACTATTTGGAACTTGGACAATATAATTGGAATTGTATTCTATAAGAAGCTGAAAATTTTTAGAATCTGTAAAACATTTGAATTCTAGTCTCAGGAAAGTCTGGGGAAGCCTCAGGGAAGCAGACCTGTTTGAAAGATGTATAACCATGGATATTGAATGGTGTTTAAAGTGATCTCAGTGGTTTGTGCTATATTCTTTACAATTTTTCTATTGTAAAAAGAAAAGTGTGTGTTTATCAAGAAATTGATATATCCACATGTGTGATCTCTGACACAAAAACACCAAACTCCTGAGAATGAGGACAGTGGGCAAAGGAAGATCCTATGGCAGGGGCCATCCAGAATGTTTGGTCTCGGAGCGGGCTCTGTACATTTGGATACTCCCTGATTCTGTCACATGCAAGGATCACTTGAACATGACACCTTGTAATCTTTAAGCTTGGACTAAGCTAGATCAACTTGAAGCTGGGAACTTCCACCTCCACATGCATCATGGTGACTCAGAGGAGTGGGCTATCATCTCTTACATGGTCACATCCCAAGTATCCTACATAACTCTGGCTGGGATACAACAAGAGCCCAGGAAATATTAATGCAGGGAACAAAATCAAGTTTTTAAATATGCTATTTTTTAAAGGTACAAAAATTTTTAACTGTTAAAATATTTTTTAAAAGGTTGATGGCCTCTATGCTAGTGTTAGGGAATAACACCTTTCCAAGAACCTGTGAAGAAATATTACTGAAAAATGGAACAATTGTCCAGTGTAAAGACAAACTTTAACTTAATACCAAAGATTATGTTATTCTCTCTCCCTCCTTTACCCTGTCTCTCAGCCTTCCATTACAAATGTGATATTATCTCATGTATCCCCTGAAGAAAGACTAACAAAATTTGGATAGATTCATTCCCTAAAAAAAACAGCTTCCAGAAAATAATAATCATTATGCTTTAAAAAATGTACCAGAAAATCATTTAAACACCAACTTACAGTTTGACTTTAAGAATATCCTTTGCCCTTTATGAAACCAGTTAGACTATTGATAAATAATCAAGGAAAAAGATTTCTGTGAACCTAAAGTCATCTACCTTGCACTGTAGCACCTACAGAGTCTGTTCTATGAGAGGAAGAAGCAGTTTTGGTGATGAGTGTGAATGTGGAAGTTGGATAGGCAGATGGGTCAGTTTCATTCAGACTACCTGCAGTTGCACAATGATCAAAATTTCTTTTAGTCTTTCTATATGTTGAATAACAAACTGACAAAAATGAATTGAAATATTAGTCTTTGTTGAATTTTGTTTTAGAGATAGATAAACCTAGTTTGAACTTCCACAATCTATAAGTAGTATCATCTAAGTTTGAGTGCATTTTCTTAATCCCAGTTTCTTTATTTGGAAAAGGAACATAATCATAGAGCTAAATTAATAATTAAGTACAATATATTTAAAAACTTAATTAAAAATCTAGTATAGAATAAATAATAAATCACTGTGGTCATAAACATTAGTATTAGTATAATCATACTGACTTAGAAACTTGTAATTAGTAATTAGGGTATTACTATATGCATTTTATGAATCAAAAGCTTTCTTGGTTTTATCTGTCTATAATTTTATTTTTAATTATTGATAAACCTTTCACATATTTCTAATATATAAATCACCTTACTAAATTTTACGTTGTAATACTAAAGGCTTTAATTTATTTTAGTTACAAAAATGGGGATTACATAAATAAAGAGATGGATAGATACATAGCTTCCCAAATAATACATGTATACACAACATTCTTGGACTATAAATTACAAAGCACCGTGGTCTCAGACAATACTTGTTTTATGTGATGAGAGTGGTATGAGGTATAATCTCAAAGGAAAATATAAATCATCTAGATATTACTAATTGCAAGTACACTGACCTTGCTGTATTACTGCCTAGAATTGTGCTACGTGTAGGGGGAATGGCAGTGAATGTTTGTTGAAAAATATATAAATTAAGTTAGCAGACATTTTATAGTACTTTTATGTTCAGAGTAATTGACTAGGCACTTCAAGGAGTATTAGGCTTACAGCAAACAAACCTACTTCTGCTTTGCAGACTTACCATTTGTTATAAAAGACAAATCCCCAAACAAATAACAATTATAAGGCAGAAGACATTGTAAAAGACCTTTAAGCATAATACTGGGGTGAAAAAGGGGTAAAAGCATTTGAGGTGCCTATCAATTCCAATTGGGAAGGATCTGCCAGCATCTAATGCTATTATCACCAATTAAAAGCACTTGATACACATTTCTAAACACTTAGATTTTTTGAAAAATAAACCTGATCCCATGAAACTTTCTCCAACATTTCTATCTCAAATGGCTGATAGATGATCAAGCACAGGGAAATTAATTAATCAAAACTTAGCACTTTTTTCTACTGCAGTCTTTGGTGTGAGGCATGTTGATAAGGAGGAATAGGAAGAGATGAGTTCTTGTATTTTGTCCTGTGGGTGAAATATTACTTCTGGAAAAGATGACACTATTTCTAAACTATGGTATAAAGTTGATTCTCTAATCTAGCTTTCAGTCCAATGCTCATCTTCTAATCCCCTGAGGGGTTCTCAGGAAGAAAGAGGGAGAGGGAAAGGAAGAAAGAGGGAGAGGGAAAAGAAGAAGGAAAAGTTGTATGATCCTCAGCCCCAGCCAATAAAACCAGAATCACTGCACGTGGGACACAGAAGTCAGTGTTAAATGAAAATCTCCCAAGATGAATGGAATGTGCTGCCATGAATGAAGGACATGTCTGTCCATGGTAATGTTTCTCAGACTTTGCTGGCATAAGAATCATCTGGATAGTTTGCAGAAACAGATGCATGGCCTCCATCCCATGAAATTCTTCTGGGGAGAAGCTCAAGGTTTTGTGTTTATAACAATTCCCAGGATAATGCTGCACTGTCTATCTGTGAAGTACTTTAAGTAGCAGTGCTCTAGAATATAGTTTCCAAAGCTGCTTAAATATAAGCAGAAGAGCAAGTTAGCTGGAGATTATTGTTCAAACAGGAGTGTATAGACAGGCATCATTAGCTTCTCCCAGGATCCTGCTAGAGATTTATTGACTCAAGATCTGTATGATAACTCATCTCCAGGTGATAAACACGTGCATTGAAGTTTGAGAAACACTTCTCTAATTCTCAAATTTGCCCGTATATTGGAATGACTTGTAAGATTTTTCAAAACTACTGACGCTTTTTCACTAACCCAGGATCCATTCTGGACCATGGGTATTTTTAATAGTTACTTACATGATGTGTCAGTGCTCTAGAGGACATAATTTGAAGAAATGTTATGCAGAGTTTTCTCTAAATTCTGCTCTAGTCACCTGGACTGTCACATCACCTGACATTCACTCACGTATTTTAATCAGAATCCCCTGAAATACAAATACAAATACAGGAGGATGGACATTTTTCTATCAGTCACATCTTAATATAATTTAATTAGAGTCTGATTTGGGGTAACAAGGAAAAAACTATTAGGGGAAATGCTAGGGGAAAATGTTTAATGGGATTTAGAAGAATGGGAGAGAGTAACAATTTAAAATACAGGGGCACTTCTCGTCCTGGGCTGAGAGGGAAGGAAGCTTAGAGTGTTGACTATCTGGTGGGGGGGCAACTTGTTCTTCAAGAGGTAGAATGAATGGTACACCGGGCACTGGAGTATCGACAGGAGTGGGCCTAAATCGTGGTAATAAGTTGGATTTCTTGTGAGAAATAAATAAGAAAATAATGAAGAAATATGAAGTTGTAATTAATTACACACCGATTGGATACATGGGAGAAAATCTAAGTGGTTGGTGCAGAAGCCATCAGAGATCATTAGGGGGCCCTCCATTCTTACAGATGTATCTTCCTTTTGTAAGTCTACTGAGTCCAGAATCTTGTCTATATATTTTAAATGTTTAACAACATTTTATTTAATGGTATCCTAACATCATTAAACACATTACTTCCCTTCTTACTTAAGCCAGGCTTATTCTAGAAGTATGACTAAATAAATGCACTGGCTAAATACCCTTCTAATCAATATTGGGTCTGCAAACACGAGTCTAGGATTGCTGGATCTTACTCAGATGCTCCCAACACATCTGAGATATACTCTGGGACGTTTATCAGGAATCAGGTGAATATAGAAGTAAGAAGAATGTCAAGCTTTCTTTTTATAGTGGATCATCTTGAGGCAGAAGACAAGTGGTGGCTAAGGACAATCAGGAGCCACTGAATTTTAGACCCAGACCCCCAGCCTGAATCTTTACATTGTGTGCAATCTCAGGGACAGACTTAGAAATTGAATAAAATGTGTATTTTTCTTTGCAAAAGTTCTTATTAATCTTGTTTATTAGTGAATAAATAAAAAGAACAACAGTCACCTAATTTAAACTATTGCTTTTATTATAATTACACGGGAGCACAAATAAATAAGCACAAAAGTATTGTAAAATATTGTCAGTACACTAAAGAAATCAATTTCCTTTCCAACAACATCTGGTTACTTCAGTAGTATCAAAGTACATTTATAATTACATGTTACCTAAAAAAATCAAGTACAAAATTAAGAGACAGTGAAACATCAGTGTTTATATCATTATGCATATAGAAATGGCTAATAACACAAGAATAGAGAAATCTGTTATGCTTATTTGCACAATTTTTCAGGCACATACCTGACATTTCTAATGATTAATGAAAATGTAAGATGACATTCAGATTTTTAGATATGATAAACATGTTATATTGGAATGGATGTTAAATGGTTTTCTTTTAAAAACCTGTCTCAAAAATGCAGTGCTATTAGCCACTAAAAAACATATTATTTTATATCATTTTCATAGCTATTTGTTTCAACTGTTTGAAAAGAGCAAGAAAGTAAACATACAACTGCTAACACATTTTTAGTGCAAGATAACAAGATCTGTGACTTTTACTGTGCTTTGTTTTTTTATAATCACAGTGCACTTTACACAAATTGCTACACTATAAATGTCAAAGAACTCCAAACAAAAGAAGTGCATACTAAACATTTTCATATATATTATATACAGTGTGTAATTTGTATGTGGGTGTATACATATATAAATGCAGATGCTTTTAGGGTGGGAAAACCCAGTTATATTTGGGAACAACTAAATACTTCAAAGGTTTTCACATACGCTAGGTTGAGATGGGCCCATCAATTTCTTTAAAAATGTTTTTCCCTTTATTTTAAACTTCATAATATTAAAAAGGAAATACAATTAGACATTTTTTCCAGCTCATAAACATTTTACTACAATGTAATTGACCCAAATATCAAAGGGTTTTAAATCATCAAATACACAAGTCATAATGATCAAATCTAACATAGCAAAATGTGTTACCCTTTTACTGATTTACACAGACAGCAGTACATATGTGTGTGTACATATAGAGGCTTACACATAAACATAGTTTATACTTGAATGCTAAATTCAGTATGGTTTAGTATCTTATTTTGACTGTACACTTGATCAGAAAAATGAGAATACCATATATAAACATATAAGAGCTGTCAAACGAGATTGTATATCTTTTTAAAAACAATTGGCTTTATTTTGAAAATATTAATGATTGCATAAGTAGCTCCTTAAATACAAAGACCATGTATTTTCCAAAGTTTAATTCCAAGTGCTTCAGAAAATTTATTTTAAATGACTGACACATAAGTTGCTCGATAACAAACTCACAAAAAATCTGGTTAATAACAAAATGTTCACATTCTTCAATTAGCCATCTATTTTCCCTTGCAGGAAGGGTCTGGTAAGATAATCTTAAGTACTATATGTACTTCTTTTCTTTTCTTTTCGTTTAAGTTTAGGACACAAAGAGTTATGAATTACAGGTTTATTGCACATATGTTCCTTTGCACGTGTGAATTAACTCTCTTCTCAGAATCACTGATTAAATCATGGAAATCTCTTCTTAATTCCACATGAAAGTATAGTTATTTTACAAGCTCTACTTTAGAAAACGAGCTTGATTAACATGTAGGTAATAGGAAAATCGCATGGATATGTGTCTTGTCTCGATATCTTATTTGGTCAGTGAGAACAATAACCATGTAAGGTTGTTTAGTATTACTGATTTAGTCACTAAACTTGCTCAAAGAATTAAACCAAATTCTGTACATAGACAAGACATACACTGATGCCAAGCCCATGGTAAGAAAAAAAATTCTTTTATTTTCTAGACATGAAGAAACTTGTTCACCATTTTGAAGCAATGTCACTGCTCTGAAAAGTAAAGTCGTATCCACTTGTATCCAGACAATTGTTGTGTGTTGAAGATGTCTATTCTTCAAATCTACTATATACATTTTAAATTCATAATATCTTGTTGTACTTTCCCAATTATTTTATATGAGTGGAAATTAACCTTCATTTCACTCCAGATTTGTTTCAGTAACATAAACGCAGGGAAAGGTTACCAGGGTTTATATAACGGACTACTGTCATAGTTTAGATAATGCTGGCTTCTATGATTGGAAAAAAATGCAGTATTTAATATTTTCTTTCCATCATTTCTAAAGAAATTTGTTTTTCTCTTCAAAAAAGTATCTCACATATAAACCCTCTCACTGACAGACAATAAAATTTTGTTTCTATAAAATCTGCTGTGAAAAGACAATTTTTCATAATTATGAGCTCTTTCAACCTGATAACCATGCCATGTTTTGATTTGTTCTTTGGCACTGCTAGAAATAAGAGCTTTATCATGGCACAGTATACTGACTGAGGTTATCCTCTGACCAAATTCATACACTTAAGTGTCCCAATTTATTACTGCCAGAGAGTCAGCTTATTTTTCTCTCTAGAGTAATCATCTCTTTTCCTCTACATAGAGAAACACTATATATATAAAGAGGAAATTGATTATAGAATGGCTATTGCCCCAATGGACAATTAAACATTGTACAGGCACAAAATAAGTGCTTTTGAGTCAAATCTCAGTGACCCACTTTTCCAGATATTTCAGTTTCTTCCCATGTTGGGGAAGATTTGGAGAAGAGCATGGAAATGTTTGTTTGCCTAAGGTCAAATTTTTAAACATGTTACCTCCTCAGAAATTAATGTATTTGAACAAGGAGCATGTGAAATCTGAGAACATTATGAGTTTGACAGAACAAATGAGAATGACTGAACCTGGCACACATCACTGTATTACCTGTTTCCTTCTGGACAAGTGGCTAGCATTAAAAAAACATATCCCAGCTAATTCAGAGAGATATGGGCAAGACAAGCATCTAAGAAATGCACCTGGGTCTCCCTGTAGAAAGATGGTGTCTAAGTGTAAATTCAAGGGACGGATGAGCATTACCACCTTGAGCCTGAATATTTATGTACCAAGATCATCAGGATGCTGAGAATTGATATCTTGTGTTTGATTGATTGTCTTGAGTATATACAGTCATAATAATTTAAATCAAAATAGCAATTTGGGTCATAACACATTTTACTTCCATTATGATTTTATCTTAACGCATTTTTTATCATTCTTAGATTTGTGCTGCATTGGTTGTTGAGTTTGAAATATAAACTCTAGTTGGTTAAATGTAGTGGCAGGATACATTTAAATTGCTTAAGATCCCTCTGCTATTTCTTATATTTGTGAGTGTACTCTTTTCACTACCTCATTAATGCAAGCAAAACCTAAAACTTCAATAAGCTTTTTATGTATACAATTCTCCCACCGAGTACTCATTCACACACACACACACACACACACACACACACACACACAACATACACATGCCCCCACTTACCTTTTTCCTTATTCTTTCAGAATTCTAGTTGGACATCAAAATATACATTAATTATAAAACATTACAAAATTATGTTTTAACATTTCAAAGGCTCTCGAAAGGAACTATTACTGGTAAAGCATTGCTATTTTTTTTATCAATATAGATTAAAAAAATTCCCTAACTCCTGTCGTATTTGGTTTTATTGAGCAGCACACTACTATTGCTGTCAATACCTTTACAAGGAAAACTACTATAACAATAACTCCTAACACACACTTTTTTCTCTCAGAAATATAATACTAAATGATTGTTAGTGAAGAATCACATACTGTCGATTTTAGGAAGCATAAATAGTAATTTAAATATATAAAATATATGTGATAGTTTCCTTTTTATTTATCTGTGGCAATATTTATATTCAACTAACAAGTTACTTTTAAAAGATATATAGAATTATTTTAAACGTAAATTTCATCACCACATAAAATTGAATCCACCTTATCCTCTACCCCCTGTATTTCCTGTTTCTTCCTTGAAAAAATATAAAATAAAGACGTGATCATAATTCTTTGGTCATGGAGTCATGATTGGTAAGAATTGCCATGAGGGTTATGCACGGATTGTGACCCAAAATGTAATAACGAGTTTGAAAAAAATAACGAAAAATACTTTTCCATTCATGGATTTAAATTTTGAGAAAGATTGACATTTCGTGGACCAAAATATGTAAGTTCATCTAGTTGAATGTTTATTACTTTTTCTAGGGGAAACAATCACGCACATGAAGTGTTACTTGAAAACTGATTGTGGTGACCACAGAGCCACTGGCTTCACCCTCTCTAATGCAATCTTGCTCTTGAACTTTTGATTCCTTACTCCTTCCATTGTCACAGTGAACCCTGGTCTCCTCCCATCAGATCCATGATGCAAGGACATGTGTCCCTAAGTCATTTCTGAAGGAAATGTCCTAGCAACTTTCTCTGCACTCTGACTAACCACTGTTTGATATAATCAAGAAGGTATTGGAGAGGAAATTTTATGAAACCAATGTCACAAGAATGTTGGTGTCAGTGTAACCTGGACATCCAAATTAACATCAGTTTTGCATTTATTTCCTGTCAAAATCTTAGAACCCTAAAAAGCAGCGGGTGTTCTTAATGAATGTGACATTCAACTTTTACATTACTAGCACCAGATCATGTATTATGTGGTTGAATATGATTTATAGCTGTGAGCTCTTATACAGAAGCCATATGTAGGGAGGAGGAAAAAGAAAAGGGTTTTAAAAGACAAAACAATAATAAAAGGCATCAAGGAATTACATATAAAAGAGATAACAAACCAGTTAATACCAAAATTATGTCATATAGTAAACTCGATATTTCTGTCGTTTACGTATAGTGTGTATTGATTCAGGAGTCACCCATAAACTAGTAAACTATTTACACTTTAATATCTTCTGGATTCAAAATAATCTGGGATAAATTCGTGTGCCTTGATTTCAAGGACGGATACATTTCATCTTGAACTTGCCATGGGTATGCACAGCCTCCTGTAGGACTGCATTCCCACAGAGAAGATACACAACCATGAACTATCACATGACCGAGTCGACCTCCCTCTTCGTATTGTATTAAGTGGCGTGGAGTCCCGTGTCCTGCACACACTCATATGGCAGTATCCCAGAATACTGTTTGCTGCTTAGAATAGGGCGGAGGGCTGCACTTCTTTGCACCTGCGTTCTTCTTCCAGCTGGGTAGGATAGGCATGCTATCCTGTTTGCAAAGGCCCTTTTCCGTTTTCTGTCTAGCCTTTATTTCCTTGCATAAGCAACGCTTTTTCTCAATCATCTCAAGCATTGTATGGTCTCCATGAAACCACTGCATGCATGCCACCTAGCAAAAAAGAAAGAGTGAATACAGAAGAAAAAAACGGAATGAAAGCATGTTTTTTGCACTGTGCTATTAGTTGCTTAGCTGTTTGTATGCATCCTTTAAAAACACTTAAAATGAATTGAGAAATGTTAATAATTCATACAAAGCAAAAATGAAAGCATGGAAACTGTATTTAAAATGGTAAATATCACAATATTATTTATCTAATAATAATTGGGCCACGAATATTTTTTCTGATATATTCTAAAAGTTCACAATGTGGAAAAACAACTTTTTATTTTGTCTTTTCCAACAACTTGCCAAAATCTGTCTATTATTTTCACACTGGTTCCATTGTGTTATTCATCAGTGTGTCTAAGTTCAATAACTGAAATTATTTTTTAATGAGATCTAATATGAATATGATAAGTTTTAATGATGTTAATGTACATTTTCATTCTTGAAATACATTGTAGTTCTTTTGGGTTTGTTTATAAATAGCATGTAGTAGGATAAAAATTCGTGATAGTTCTTCCTAAAATGACTTTCACTGTGCACCATATGCTCAGATTCCAAATGCTTAAACAATTCTTTGAAAAAATATTTTGCTATATTTTTAGATCCTTCAGCAAATGTCTACATTAGAGTCATTGGCCTCTACAGCCCCATTGACATAGATTCTAATTAGTCACAGAAACATGAGAAAAAAAGATTCATCAGGTCAGTTGGATTATCAGTAGACTCGACATTGACACATATACATATGTTGTTGGACAGAAAGGACTACCAGGTGTCATGGTACCATGTCCACTAGTAACTGTCTTTGGAAACAAGTCTGTCACACAAAGAAGCCAAGATAAAGAAGCTAACATTTAATTGTTTAAGAAAACACGCTCTATGCCTTACAGGGTTAAAATTGCATCCATGAAATCATTGAAATTGGTGTTATAATTTTAGAATGATAAAGCAAATGCTTATCTAATGTTTACTCTATATCAGATCTCATGCTAAGTTCTTTGCATGGTTTAACTCATTTATTCCTCACAATGATGCTGTAAAATGTATACTACCAGGGAACCCATAACGATGAATTAAATAATAAAGAAACCAGGTAACTCGCCCAAATTTACGGAGGCAGAAAGTGGCAAAGTCAAGATTTGAAGCTGAGTCCGTTCATGTCTTTCATAACTACAGTATACTGCCTGTCAATGTGTGTAAAAACTGGAAAGAACTGGGCAGATAAATTAGTATAATACCCTTAATGTATAGATGAGGAAATTAAGGTTTTAAGAAGTTAGGTGTGGAGGTAGGTTTTGTTGAGTAGAATTCTCGTGATTCCTAAACCACTAGGGAAAAGGAAGACCTAAAATAGAAAACACGGATTCAAATACTGGATATGTCAAATTTCTCCTGGTCTTGGTTTCTTTATCTGAATAACTTGTTGATAATTCTGCACTTTCAGCAGTTGATATGAAATCCAATAATTGGATATGAAGGTCAGCTCACTGATACTCAATGCATTTTGAGGCAAAAATTTTGTCTTGGTGCTCATTTGTTTGGTACTCATTAGGAAAGCTAGAGTTTAGTGCTGTGGATTATCCCATGACTCACTCTTCTTTTGTAGCCAAATCACGTTGTTTGATACTCATAGTTTTGGGTTGTTTGGGGTACTCTCCTGCCTTCTGGGACAAATTAATGATGAGTACCAAGATACATATAGTGATGGTTGCTGTTGTATTACCATTTCTAGCTGCTATTCAAATGCAAATATGTTTATGGCTTTGTTATGTGAATAAAAAATGCTTATCAACTAACAGTTAAAATCAATGGTCTGGACTTGGAATCAAAAGATATATTCCTAGGTAAATATCTTATATATGCCTAAAATGACACAAAGTCTCTTGAAAGGATGAGCTATGTATGTGCATTTGATGTCTCCTAGTCTCTAGCTCAGGATCTTGGACATGGGCATTCAGATTAGAAATAAAATCCTAGGTGTTGAGTTAATCTACTGAACAGGTTTGTGTCCCAAGAGAAGAATGCCAAAGTAGCTCAGAAATTTTTGTAAGACTTTTATAACATGATAATCTATAAAATAAAATACAGTAACTCTATTTTGGTGGAAATATAAGCACAGTTTATTGAGTGACTATCAACTTTCATACTGGAACTTATATATAACAAACAATTGTCAGAGGACACACCTTAATCTCATTCATCTCATAAGTCTCAACATGCAGAACAGAGGTATAGTTTCTTGGTAAAATTTTATGAATTCAATAGAAGCTACCTTCATTGAACAGTTTTTGTTGCCTATTAGAAAAATTCTCCAGATAATCTTAGTAAAATCTTACTTTGTTTTATGCATTTCAGTGTAATGGGAAAACCTCTGAAATTCAATGTATCTTATAGCATCACTTCTACATTTGTGTTTTACTTACTTGTCTAGGTGTACATTAAATAATTTATTACTTAATATTCTTTGGCATTTTTGTGGTGAGAATCAGTATACATTGCTACAAAAGAATATTATTTATTTTGGACATCACAAAGGATTTGTCTAGTATTAATATGAAATGTGTTAAAATAAGCCCATAAAAGATTCCATCATTTTCCTGGGTTTTTTTAAACATAATTTTTCACTATCTTGTTAGAATATGATTATAAAATTCCATTCCATCTCCCCTGGCAGTTGAAAGAACTTTGAGAATCTGCTGTGAAACAACTAATTTGAAACCAAACCCCATAAATGAACTCTTTTAGTATAGTTATTTAATTAATGGCCATTTCTGATCATTAATTGAAATGCATTTATTATTTTATCATGTAAAAGAATATATACACACTGGAAGGTAAGAAGATTTGCAAAATAACTATAAGACAAGTGTTCAATTATTATGAATACACATATCTTGGACAATGTTTTCATATTAAAATAACTCATCAGAGACAATATTCTCGAATAATATTAAGCTTATTGAAATAAAATCAAATGAAACTCCCTGTCAAGGAAGCGAAACAAAAATCTCTATCCCTGTGTGTTAGTTACATAGCAAATACTTTTAAAAAAGTACAGTGTAAAAAAGGGGAAGAAGAATAACTTTATAGTGGAGAAACATGTCTACAGGCTGAACATCCATGCCCTGACAAAATTCACACGCTGAAACTCTCACCTCCGAGGTGATGGTACTAAGTGGGGAGATTTTCAGGAGGTGTTTACATCATGGGATTAGTGAATTTATAGAGGAGGCTCACGGTGGCTCTTCCTTCTCTTTCACCTTGGGAGGATACCGCAGGAAGCTGATCTGTAACCCGGGAGAAGCTGTCACCTAAACTCAACCATAGGGTACATGACCAGGCTCCAGAACTATGAGACACAACTTTTTACTGTTTATTAATTACTCAGTTTATGGTATTTTATTAGAGCAACCCAAACAGAAAAGGCATCTGATGAACACCACCTTCAACCCATGATGAGCGGTAGTAAGTCATGTTGACAGCAGGTGTCCTTGCTGTGATGTTACAAGGACGGTGGCACTTTGCCTCTGCCATCTTTCCTTCTCAAACTCCCTCATCTCCATTCTAGTCATCGTAAACAGCAGATAATCCCAAACTGAGAGACATTCCACAAAATGCAATGCTACTGCCTTGGAATGCTGCCAAGCTCACCCCAAATAAAGAAAGTCTGAGAAACTGTTACAATCTAAGGAGGCATAAGGAGCCTCCATGACTAAAGGTAATATATGCACTGTCCTAGAAGGGGCAGTGGAGAAAAAGACCTTTAGAGAAAAGCTAAGAAAACTGGCATAAAGTATGAACTTTAGTTGATTATAATGCATCAATACTGATTCATTAGTCCTGACAAATGAACCATAATACAATAAGATAATAAAATTAGAGACAATGGATGTAGTTGCACATTCTTTGAAACTTTTATGTAATCTAAAATCTAAAGAAAACATATTTTTAAAAGATTAAGTGAAAAGATTATATTCTTTGTAAATGTGAGTTTAGCTGTAGTTTTAATTTTTTAAAAGGAAACAACACATTATTATGGAATGCATTAAATGACGTGATTGGGGTCCTGGTTTTTGTGTGAGGATACAAAGTCATTCATCTCTGAACATTCTATATATGTTGTATGACTACTGGTGTATACTTCGTGTATACATGGTATGTATACTTGAATATAACTCTCAAACATGTTTTGAATGCATTGTACCCAATTTGTACATATATTAGGTATATCAGTGATAATCACAATTTACATGGCTGTGGGGGTTGAACTACAGCATTCAAGTGGTAAAGACTCATATATTGTAGGATCTTCTGGAATCATCAGGAGCAGCATAGTGAGAAGGAGCTTTGAATTCACTTCAGTAATTACTTTTCTCTTTGGAAAAAATAACTATTTCCTGAGATTAAGAACATATTATCTTCGAAGAACAAATAAATAGCAATGCGGTACCATAATAAATCTCTGTAATATATGTTTAAAACATCTACTGTTCCAAAGTATATAAATCATAAAGAGAAAAAATACTCTGAAGTAACTACTTGGACTATCTTAAAATGACATGAGAATAAAACTTTCATGTCTCTATTTTTATTTCTATGCTTCATCAATTAGCATGTGAAAAAATAATTTATCAAAGCGTCAAAGACTCAGGAGCCAGAACACAATGTTCAACAAGAACCTTATTGACGTTACCAAAATTAAATTCAGTAGCAACTCTTGAACTTTATGAATATAATTTTATTTCTTTAACAATAGCCATAACAATCAATACTAATTTTCACATGATCAGAGGCAAATAATCTATCTGTTCTACATTTCTCTTTGTCAATTTATTCAATCTAGGCAGCTGGTTATATGAGAAATGCTTATTTCCTGTTTAGGGAATATCAACTTTACCCTGGTCAAAAAGAAACCTGAAATGATCAAAGTTCTTTGAATTTTCTCTTTATTCCACAGGTTTCCCCAGGAGACTATGGACACCAGCATGAGGCAGTAAGGAAGA